AGATTCATGCGTTAAGACACTAACCCCCTGCCGCTTCAATGGAAAGCATTGAAGGCTGTACTACGTGGTCTTTTCATCCAGCAAGGCGCTAGGCTGAAAAGGGAACGGTCTCGTCTTGTCCGAGAGGCCATCCAAGCCCTGTCGGCTTTGGAGACTCAACACAAACACTCACCCTCCCCGGAACTCCTGGTGCAGGTATCCCAGGCCAGACTGCACCTTTTGGGGCTCTTGGACCTGTCGACAAGCGGATATCAGGATAGGCTCGCTTCACGGGCATATATGAGACCCGTGACAAATGTGGGAAGGCCCTGGCCCTACACCCCAGACCCGCCTCTGCCTTTATTCCCCAAATCCAATGTGTGTCCGGTACTTATGTCAATTCACCCTCGGAAATCCAGCACACCTTTGCGGATTTTTATAGCACCCTTTACAACCTATTAGGGTCAGCGGCCCCCTCCCCAGATCGAGACAAGGAGGTTGCGGAGTATGTCCAGCGCACGGCCCTGCCGACCATAGAAGACTCAGGGGCCGAAGCCCTGGAGTCCCCCTTTACCATCGAGGAAATACACTGCGCACTCAAATCGACCCCAACCGGGAAAAGTCCGGGGCCGGATGGCTTCACAGTGAAATTCTTTAACTCATTCAGGGATAAACTGACCCCCTTCCTTTTAAGGGTGTTTAACTCTATAGCGCAAGGCACCTCCTACTCAATCACTTGAGGCGCATATATCGTGGTTCCCTAAACCTGGTAAAGATCATTCCCTATGTACAAACTACAGACCGATCTCCCTCCTCAATGTGGACGTGAAGTTATTTGCCAAATTGATAGCCAACCGGTTGAAACCCCTTCTCCCGAGAGTGATTCACGCGGATCAAGTGGGGTTTGTACAGGGCTGAGAGGCGCGAGACAACACCATCCGAACGCTGCTGTTGATGCACTTCGCTAAAACGTCCGGCACTTCGCTTTGCCTCCTGTCGGTGGATGCAGACAAAGCGTTTGATCGCCTGGACCGGGTTTCCTCCGACACTCTCTATTACAACTCGGGGTGCGCCCCGCCATGTTGCGCAACATAATGGCCCTATACTCCTGCCCGTCGGCCAGAGCCCGAGTAAACGGCTCACTCTCTCCTAGCTTTAGGATCTCTAATGGCACCAGACAGGGCTGTCCCCTCTTTTGTATATTCTCACAATGGAGCACTTGGCGGTCGCCCTCCGGCAAGACTCTGCCTTCCAGGGCCTGCGGGTGGGCCCCCATACTTCTAAACTGGCACTGTTAGCGGACGACTTACTGCTCTACGTGACTCACCCACATGTTGCCATGCCCACGATCCTGCGTGAGTTCCAGCTTTTCGGCTCCCTAAGTAATTTTAGGGTTAACCTTACTAAATCAGAGATCCTGAACGTATCCTTGGGGACCGCAGCTCTGGACCTCCTGACCACTAACTACCCCTTCCGCATCTGCTCGACCTCCCTGAAATACCTAGGTGTCTCTCTCCCGACTGATCTAACTGACTTGTTCTCTGCCAATTCCCACCCCTTGCTTGACAAGATCACCCATGACCTTACCGCCTATGACCGCAAACGCATTTCCTGGCTGGGGCGGATTAATGCACTCAAAATGGACATTGTCGCTAAATTCCTATACCTCTTCCAGACGATACCCATCGCCCTGCCGTCTGCCTACCTGAAGCGGATCCAACGGGCCTTCACTAAATTCATTTGGGGCACCTCACGCCCACGCCTTAGCTATCGATCGCTGGCCCTTCCGAAACGCAGAGGAGGGGCGAGCGCCCCGGATATCTTTTTGTACCACGCTTCCGCAGTCCTGACTCGTATAGTAGACTGGTTCCACAAGGGCGAGGAAAAACTGTGGGTCGGACTAGAGGAAACCCTCTCAGCAGGTGACTTACGGGCTTTGCCTGGGTACCCCCTAGATCCAGACCGGTCCGCTCCTCTCTGCCCCCTGCTGACCGCACACGTTTTGACGGTGTGGGACGGTTGGGTTGCTAGACACGCACTGTCGGTCTACATTGGACCAATGACGCCCCTGTTTTGGAATCCCTCCTGCCTTGCATGGAACTACTTTCGGTGAATGGGCCAGGGACTCCCACCGCAGGGTTATCTTGGCTCTGCAGGCTCGGCCCCGTGCGGAACCCACCCTAGCCCAGGCCCTGGGGATTGGTTATCGGAGGGACAATTTCGCTCCTTTGTCTCCTCCGTCCAGGTGCCGGATAGTCTCGGCGGGGAGCCAACAGAGTTTGACTCCCTTCTTCTGGCCTCAACTCCTCCTTCCCACGTGGTATTCCTTCTCTACTCTCTCCCTCCTGGCCTCTCCCATGCTACCGGCCTACACGTCGGCCTGGGAGCGCGAGCTGGAAGTCACTTTTACGAGTGGGAGAAGTCGTTTGCTCTCACGCACTCTGTCAGTGGCCAGCAGGGCTCACGAGAAAAACCTTAAGATACTCACCAGATGATACCGCTGCCCTACGGTCCTCCATCGGTATTACCCTACAGTGACCGATGCCTGTTGGAGGTGCGCTGCCTCCCCAGGAAACATGACGCATATTTGGTGGAGCTGCCCTAAGCTTCAAGGGTTCTGGAGGGGTGTATTGGGGATGTACCACAGAGTGACAGGAACGGCTATTGCTAATGACCCCAAAATTCTACTCTTGTCCATGGTCCCAGGATCAATCAAGAAAGCGAAGAGGGGCCTTCTGTGTCACTTTCTGACGGCAGCCAGAACTGTTATCCCACGTCACTGGCGTTCATTGGTGGTACCCACCCTTGCGGAGTGGGTTGTAGAGATGGATCACATTGCTGACCTGGAGGGCCTCTTGGCAGGTGAACGTGAGGAGGGAGACAAATATGTCAACAATTGGTCCCCCTGAATTGTGCATAGGAACTCAGTGGGTTTCACAGCAACGCCCACTCCTTAAAGTGCTTCCCCAACAAAGTCGTTCGATGGTCTGGCAGGGGGTGGGAGGCTATTGTCCCCTTCCTCATCCCCCCCCCTTTTCCAGAGCCCTGGTTAAACCAGGGCTCTGTGGGGTCTCACCAGAGCTTTGAGGGGACCTCACCAGGGTAGCAGGGCTCTGTGTTAGAGCCTTGTTAGACCCCACAGAGCCCTGGTCTCACCAGAGCTCCATGGGGTCTCACCAGGGCAGCAGATTTTACATGACACATATTTAATTTGTATTTTAGCTGCCCTGTAGTATGTACACATTGTCCACACATCCAATGCACTAATGAAGCAGGAGACTCACCGGCCCAAGGGATCCCATCAGGTAACGAAGGGAAGGGGGAGGAGTCCAGTGACGTCACGGACATCGCCGAATCCTGTAATCGTTGGAACATATCTCAACACCAAAAATGTAATTCCCCCCTCCCTTTCAGTGCTCCCCTATACTCACCACTTCTAAATTTACTACAAGCTACCCCCTTCGTAAGTTATACTCCCTACTCCCCCAATTGATTATATTATAGGAATTTCCTTAAAAAGGGGTTCCAATTCCGCTGTTCTCCCCCCTCTCTCCCTCCTGTTCTTCCATAGTGTACCGTGCAACAAAATTTTTATTTTTTTCTTGCCCCCTCCCTTCTCCATACAGAACAATACTCATTATATCTATCCTTTAAAGTGCAAAAACATATTGACATATTATCCTAGTGAATCAACCAGAGGAATCTTCATATCCCACCAACCCCCTCCTCCCTAAAACACCCCACCCCCCTATATACAAAAGAAAAAACACCCTTACTAATACAAAACAATTTTGTCTACCTCTCTTGAAAGATGACAGTTTTACCATTTTTCTGGGCCATTAAATGGAAGGGATACCCCCACCTATATGGCCTATGACCTTCTCTATGTAAAGTGGTAAAGGGGTGCAAAGCTCTCCGTCGAGCCAGAGTTTGTGAGGACAGATCTGGATATAAATTAATTATGCACCCCCCCCCCCCCCCCATTACAATGGTACCCTTCTCTCTGGCTTTCTTTAGTATCCTTTAATCTGAAAAAGTGAATACGACAAATAATGTCTCTTGCTTGTTTCAGAGATGGGTTATGGATCCCCGGAACTCTATGGACCCTATCAATTTAAATTGGGTCCAATGCAGGACGATCAAGTATAGAATTGAGTGTACCTCTTACAGTGGCTTCCAGCTCAGTTGTTCCTATAGTTTCAGGGAGGCCTAAAATTCTAACATTGTTCCTCCTACTGCGTGTTCATATGTAGCCATATTGTCTGTATAAACTTATATTGTCCTTTGACTGCAGTTTGTAATTCCTCAATGGCTGTGTGACACAATCCCTGACATGCATCTACTTTACCCAGACGTTCATGGATCCCTGTTTACTTTTATTATACCAATTTGTTAAAACATTTAAAAAACTAAATCAAAATTACTGAAGAAAAAAAAAGCCAACCTCCAGATTGTTAGCGCAAGTCCCTTATCTACAGTTTTGCATAACTTAAATTACCTTTTTTTTTTTACCTTTTCACACAAAAAAAGGCAAACATTTAATTTATTAGCAACTTTGTAAATTATGTTGAGTTTGTGTGCACCAATAATTATTTTAATGAATTTTCATAGAAAATATTGTTTTGATAAATATTTGCACAACTACTGTGGAATGTACAACCCAGCAGGACCACCTTTTTATTCTATGGTCCCCATTCTTATCAATTTGTAAGTAAAAAGTAGGCAGGCAATCGAGCCTTGATGAAAAGAAACCAAAAACATGGTTCAGAAAAGACCCTAAAAACATGGTTCTGAAAAGACTCTTACCTTTACCAGAACTAAAAGGCATTGCACAATACTTATTTTTTTGCCCTGCCGGGCAGCATATTGTTAGGTTTGGCCGGAGTGACCTTGTCATTTAAAAGAAAACATGATCAAGCTGCAATTCATGCAGAAAACATGATTTAGATCTTTTGTAATAAAATAAACATTTGCATTTTACAAATAAATATTATAGATTGACAATGTTAAATGTTTATTACCTGCTGGCGACGGGTGAGGGTGCCATTGGCTAGGGTGGAAGTGGCCTCCTGAGGGGTCACCCACACCCGGTCCAGCTGAGCAGTGACGTGTCTCCTCTCTTCTTCCAGAGCACGAGACAGCAACTCAAACTGTGCTTCCTGCGCTCTCACCGAGGCCAAGATACTGGCCGGACTCTCAGACTCATCCATAGGAGACAGGAAAGAGAACCCAAACTGAAGGAGAGATCAGATAGCAGAGGTAGTTGGGGGGACAGAGAGACAGACAGTGGGTTGGAAGGGGTGACACAAGGGAAGGAGGGAGATGGACACCAAATTAAAACCAGCAAAGACAGTCCCAAAACCCTAAGATGATTACACTAACAGCAGATTGCAGATTCAAGGAAAAGTATAATGGTTTTGGGTTAAAATGCTTTTGTAAAAATGTGGTTTTAAAAACAATAGATTCAATATTTTAAATGTATACATTTAAAAAACAATTCTCTATTTAAACATAGTTATGTTTCACAAAATACTGAATACATGACAAGGATTTCAAGAGCACTATGGGTGCACACCGAGCAATTTAAGAGGGGGTAAAGTTACCGTTCTGACTTGAAAATTCATTTGTGCATGTAAATTTCAGGTCAAGTTATTGAGCTCACTAAAACAACCCGCTTTATTCAAAAGAAGGCAATAAGCAATTGGGAATAAGCCAGGGATGGACAAATCAATTAGAAATTCAGTCCAGTCTGTTAATTTCAAGAACAAGTAGAATTTTGTTTTAGGAGCCAGCTCCATTAAAAGGCAACTATAGAAAACCTCAAAAGTTAAAAAGCAAGTTGTAATGAATGAGAATTTGTTAGCTGGCTCCTGAGATTTGTCCCAGGACTATGTTATGAGAATGCATAATTTGCAAAATAAGTTATAAGTTGTGACTATAATAAAGAATGAAAATGCACACAAAACCACTATACAGTCCCTTTATATAGAGAAAAATGTAAACATCAATTTGATTTATTGCAAGCCAGGTGTGATAAGACAAAAGAAATAATTAAAAAGATTCTCAAATTATTCAACAAGGTTGAAAGATCATTATTAGGAGACAGAGCACAGTGAAATAATGCACTGTTACAATAGCATGCACTAGACTGAGGCTCTAGGAGTAAGACATTTGGAACAAGAAATCAGGGTGTAACCATTTTTAACCTCAAACTCATTTAAACATCCTAGAAAAATAGTTGTCCACAGCAACCATTTTATGCTTTCCTAAATGACTGGCTATAAAATGAAGGGGATATGCTGTACAGCCGTCCAAATCACTTGAATGCAGCCTGCAGAATGACTTCAACAGGGAGAACGTCAGTTCTCCAATTTTTTTGCTGAATCATGCCACTGGTAGCTGTCATTCCCCGGCAGAAGCTATTTAAGTGTGATGGCACCCCCAAAAGTGCCTCCCACCCGCAGTATATTTTATTTCAACTTAATGATGGCATTTGCTTTTTATCCAATCGAATAAGTAAATCGGCCAACTAATCGATTATGAAAAAAATTGTCAGTTGCAGCCCTACCTTGGCATTGTGTTAACACACACCTGAATGCTCCAGACCAACAAACTGCTAAAATGACAGCTTTTGTAGAAGTGGTCACACTTGCTGATGATCAATTAATCAAGGGCATTTGATTAGCAGCACCTGGCTGCTACTTAGCCTCTTAATTCCTATGGCAGTATTAAGAATATACTTTGTTTTTCACACATTTGGCTGTATGTTTGTAAAATAAATAAGGACAGTGTAATATGCCATGTAGTGCTGTTCATTTGAGGTAGTATTTATCCAATTTTAAAGACCTGTTACGAACCAGATGATTTTCTTATGCCCCGATGTGTAAACAATAGAATTCAAGAAGGGTGTAATTTATTTTAGGGCTACAACCAACTGATTATGAGAATAGCTGTCAACTATTCTCATTATCAATTATTTGGTTGGATCCCCTAAGCTCTCCTACACACTGGGTGAAGGACACAACAAGCAGTGGGTGGGTGAAATAGCAAGCCTGCTATTGCAATTTGAAATTTTTTATATATATATATATATACTCCGGCCAGAGGAGAGAAAGCGATCGGCGAAGAAAAAGCGGCAGTTTCACCCCCGTCCTACCGGCGGCGAACCCCCCTGCCCCCCGCTGATGAACACAAGGAACCAGTAAGTTGCCCTGCAGTTCTGAAGGGACATACAAAAGGATGGAGAGAGTAGAATGTCAGACAGCTGCTTCCCCTTCGCTGTCTGACCACAGGCTGGGGACAGGCACAACTTGTATGTTTTACTGAAAGGAGAATTTAAAAAAAAAAACAACAACAAAAAACTGACATGTAGGCTTTTAATGAAGGGATTCTGTAGGTCTCTTCTGTCAAATTCTTCTTCCTACCTGCCAGCATTTAAAAAAAATTATTTTAGTGCACAGCGAGCAAAATAGTGCTGGAAGGGGTCTCTTGCTAGGCAAGTCTGCCAGTGCATACCAGCACATTACAGCAACAGGCTCATGTGGGGCCAAAAATGTTCCTTTTGTTGTAGCACTTTACTTCCAAATGAATTGCATTGGGGTTCCCTACTGGAAGAATCATCAGGCATTGTGTCCATTTAAAATCAGCAAAAAAGAAGGTCTATACATTTTTTGGTCCCCAGATAGGTAATCCAGGCATTCTATGTAGTAAAGAATTGGGGATATCCATCATGCAGCTGTGCTTTTAGCTCAGTGGGTTTGAGGTTGCCATCCAGTGGGTTTGAGGTTGCAGATAGCAAATAAGCGATTGCTTCCTCTGCTATCTGCCATAATTTCCGGGGGGGGGGGTGCTCTCTCTCCCCCCCCTGTAGACTGGGGGGTGGGGCAGAGGGCACATCCCTGAAATGAGAAGGGCACCTCCCAGAAATTGCTTCTTTTCAGGTTGGGATCCCTGGTACCCCCCCCTACCAGCACCACCAGTAAAAGGGCATTTAAATCAGGAGAGGAAGAGGAAAAGGGCAGGAGAGGAAGAGGGCACCTAAATCAGATCAGCTATGTGCACTGCTCCTCCTGCATTACACCACTAACATCTGTGCGTTACATTACTGACCTCTGTACAGTGTGTTACATTACTGATCTCTGTACTTGGCATTACACCGCTGCACTCTGTGTTGTTACTGATCTCTGTACTTTGCGTCACACTGCTGAACTGTCGGAGGTACGGCCGGGGCAGGGTAGGGTTTAGGTGGGGCAACTGGTGGCGAGTAACTCTTAAGGCCTGGCTAGTAGCTCAGGGCCTGAAATTTTGAGATATAGAGATAGATAGATATACACACACACACACACACACACACACACACACACACACACACACACACACATTACCCAAAGTATTGGCACACCTGCCTTTACACGCACATGAACTTTAATGGCATCCCAGTCTTAGTCTGTAGGGTTCAATATTGAGTTGGCCCACCCTTTGCTGCTTTAACAACTTCAACTCTTCTGGGAAGGATGTCCACAAGGTTTAGGAGTTCTGTCGGGTTGAGGTCAGGACTCTGTGCAGGCCAGTCAAGTTCCTCCACCCCAAACTCGCTCATCCATGTCTTTATGGACCTTGTTTTGTGCACAGTCATGTTGGAACAGGAAGGGGCTATCCCCAAACTGTTCCCACAAAGATGGGAGCATGGGATTGTCCAAAATGTCTTGGTATGCCTTAAGAGTTTCCTTCACTGGAACTAAGGAGCCAAGCCCAACCCCTGAAAAATAACAACCCCACACCATAATCCCCCCTCCACCAAACTTTTACACTTGGCACAATGCAGTCAGACAAGTACCGTTCTCCTGGCAACCGCCAAACCCCGACACGTCCATCAGATTGCCAGACAGAGTAGCGTGATTAGTCACTCCCCTACATGTGACTCCTGCAGCAAAATTTGTCAAGCCAAAAGTGAAAATGACTTTTCCCACATACATACATAATTTTTATTTTTTTAAATAATTGTATGCATTATATTAGACATTTTAATTAGTTTCATAGATTTAAAATAATGAGAATTGTAAAACTCTAAGCCAATATAATAAAATAACCAACTTTTATTTTAAAAAAACACATCAAATTTTTTGGGGGTATTTTTACATTTTAGTTTACCTTTATTTTTTTTATTTGTTTGCATTTTTACTTTTTATTTAACTTTTTAATTTTTTAGGTAATTGCTGGGAGCCATACTCAGTCTGCTATTGGATATTTTAACATGCAATAGCAGGCAGGCTATTGCACCCACCCAATGCCTGCTCTCAATCAGCAGAGGAGGGACCTGAATGAGAAAGTTCTCCATCAGGTCCTCCTCTGCTGATTGACAGCAGGTGGGTGCGATAGCCAGTCTACTATTGCATTTTAAAATATCCAACAGCACCCGGCTATGGCTCCCAACCCCCAGATGGAGTGGGGGAACGGGGCGGGCAGCAACGGGGGTCCCGGGGGGCTCAGCGGGGAATGCAGTCACAGCGGTCTCTTCTCCCCACCGGTGCCGGCTGCAGTGGTCTGTGTCCCCGCCCCCACTGCCTCTACCAATACAGGTGAGGAGAGCAGCGGAGAAAGAAAGGGACATGGACCGCTGCGGCCAGGGGAGGAGAATGGAGGAGCAGAGCAGCGGCAACTAATCGAAAATTAACTAATCGATGATGAGAATCATTGCCAACTATTCTCATTATCAATTATAATCGATTAGTTGTTGCAGCCCTAGATACAAGAAATGATACATTTGTGCTTATAGTTATGGGACAGTTTTTCTAAAACAATACAGACTAATGATTTCAGGACAGTAATGGACCGCCAGAGCTAGGTCCCAGCTGCAACCCTGGTAGTTCTCCTGAAAATGCCAAGTATCTCAACATCCGTACTCCATAATAGACTAGAGAAAAAAAAATGTTTAAAATTGTATAAGATCGCATTATTGACAATGTTAATAAGCAATAAGTCTTTAATACCACCCGAACAAAAGTTGAGATGAATACCAGCAGGTAGCATAAAAGGGGAAGAGATAAAACACATAAATCATTGTTAAAACACTTTGTGAAAAAGTATTAAATGAAGGAGATTCGATACAAAAAGGATAGTGAAAAGGTACTGCCACACATTTTGTATATACAAATAAATAAATGGATACCCATTTTACAAATGCACCTGGCTGTTGATGTGCGCATGCAAACGCATGTGCATTCAGATCCTTCAT